TCGTCTAAAGCCAGGTAGTAATTTATATGTGTCACCTGATTTTTACTTTACAAATTTATTATTAATCAATTTAAAAACCACCTGGCTTTAGATGACCTCCAATTTCGGCCCTTTTCTCAGCATATTATAATATCCCCGGGGTTATTATTCCGCGGTATGCACATTGCCCATCACTACGTACTACGTACGTACGTACGTACATTATATGGAGAAGGCCTCTAATTGTAAAGAGTAATATATTGTCAAAAAGCTTACGTGGAGTACTTTGAACTGTGTTAACGACATTGTTACAAATACGTACAGTTTTGGCTTAAATACCATTATACATCGTTCTCTTCTATATGTACTAGAACACATTATACATATACTATACAAATTGTCTGAAATTTGTGTGAAACCTAACGAGAACGCACAAAAAACAAATTAAGATATATTGGTACAAATAAATTCGAAAATAAACACTAAATAATATTTTTAAGGCATTTGTACTTATAATAGTATCCGTTTCTAATGTTAACTCGACATCATATTATGAATTTCAAAAATGAAGATTTTATTTTATAATTTGGCAATTGCGGCCATAACCATCTTTCTTCCTTTGGCCGTTTTGCCAATGGGATTTGCGCAAATCATAAAGTATTCAAATTTCACCTACACAGAAACAGAAATATTTAGTCAAACTAATATTACCGGAAACCCCCTTCATGTCTTAACTATTAAACATTATCAAGACGATGCGAGTACGTCATTGTTCACATTGGTCGGAGGAATTATATAGCCGGCAATAATTTATGTTTGGAACAGAGGTTGCTTCGCGTTCTTCAAGGATACGGAAGAGTTGCTGAAATAAATTTTGATAATACTGAGGAAATACAAGAAATCAATTACTGCTATGTTAATGGTAAAAATCCATTAAGCATTTACCCATTATTTGATCAATACATTTTGATATCATACGTTCATGCAAATGATACCTCCGACAGCACAACATATATGGATCGAG